TGTTTGCAATAGCGAAGCTGCCGCCTTGAGAAATGAGAAACTTCCTCTGCCTTCTCTATTACTTAATTTTTGTCTACCACACAACCTAGAACTAGATAGCGTCGATTTGGCTGTCACACTTATGTTTTAAGCTTCCCAGCCCAGTAATTTCTAATTTATTTTTTAATAGGAAAAATCTTATTTGCAGTGCTATTATATTGTAATTATGATTAGTGAGTTCAGTATGTTTACAGATAACTGAAGTAAGTGTATTGCAGAAGCTTGGCATTTGCTTTAGTAAATATCTATGCTTATTTTCAGGTGTCCTAAGCAGTGAAAGATTTAGTTCTGTTTGGAGAAAATAATCAAGTTGGGCAATGCAAGTGTGACTAGTAGGATTTAAAGATACTGCAATTTATACGGCAAAAGGCTTTTATAATTAATTTTAAATGTATGTTATGTTCCTTGTATTTCAGAACTTCCAATTAAAATACTGCTTATGCTGCTGTTTACGGTTTATAGCTTCTCTTCGTTGAAATCTCTGTTCAGGTAACTAAAGAAACTTGTTCCCAAAGCCAAGAACAAAACCACTTCTGCTGTCACCGGGAACAGCGTTGTCATAAGGGGCAAACAGCGCAGAAAACTGACGCTGAAGGATCAAATTGAAGTGTTACTAGTCAAAAGGTGCTGCTGCCTCTGTTCTCTTCCCAGGAGGCAAGGCTTAAATTAGGATTATTACAGCACTTCCCCGTTAGGTTTGAATTGTGACAACTACCCAGTTAGTCCCAGCAGGCTCTAAATCCCCACCTGCGTGATGCGCTGTTAAAGCACGAAGCTGTAATGTTGTAGCCTGTGAGGATTTAATTCAATATTGGAGCGCTTGTTACAGTGAGTTATCTAGAGATTGTTTATCTGTGCTAGCAGTTATAACTGCTACTGTGGGTTTTTCCAGTGGTACTGGAAATTTCCAATACTAATGACTTAGTATTTTCACGTGCGGAAGGGGCAGGTTATAAATAACATACACTTACAAGCTGTAATTTGTCAACAAATCTGCAGACGCGTGGTTGTCAGAACATATAATTGCCCAGATCACCCGGTGTATTTATACAGGCCGTTGATCTCTTAGCCACTTGACCAGAGGTAATGCTTATCCTTACAACCCCCATAGTCTCCACTTTTCTATTTCCCAAACTTTTCACGGCAAAGCCGGGCCGTAGTGGAGGATCTGTCGGAAATGCTGTAAACCTGGATTCGCTACCTCAGTCACATGCTGTTTTGTAGGTGATCCTCTCTCAACCAGACTGCTTTTTTCCTCCTTAGTGTTCCAGAATTCAGTCATTCTGTCTCAAGAATTTCTGTACTAAAAGAGTGGTTAAACATTGGAATAGGCTGCCCAGGGAAGTGGTGGAGTCCCCATCCCTGGAGGTATTTAAAAGACGTGTAGATGAGGCACTTAGGGACATGGTTTAGTGGACATGGTGGTGTTGGGTCGATGGTTGGACTCGATCTTAGAGGTCTTTTCCAACCTTAAGGATTCTATGATTCTAAGAGCTCTAAAAACCTCTGTAGGAGCTTAGTTTCCATCTAGAGACAGAGCTTTTGCAAGTTTCTTGTTCCTAACCTTCCAGAGAAACCCAAATTCCTTCCAGAAGAACACAAATTCCCCTGTAAAACTACCTGCAGTCAAAACCCTACCACCAGTGTCCTTTGCAAGAGATTGGCTCGTACGTCCTACGGAAAGCTTGGGGGAAGGGGGCGAAGATAAATCTGACATTTCCAGTCTCTGGACGTGGAACAACTTCCGCGTGTATGAAGGTCTCTGTTCAGATGTTCACTGGAGTGATGTGAGGTGATGCGGAGCAGCTGCTGAGATTTCTACTTGGATTCCGGGGCATCTTGGAACTCGGTGTGAAAGCGACAGGATAAGGAAGTTAGCTGTGCTCTGTTATCACAGAGCTGAAACTCTTTAAGTTGTTATTTAAAGCCTCGTTGTGAACTAATGGGGGGGGAATATTCTTTGCACTGGTCACAGGTGATAGCTGAGAAAGAGTAGTTATTTTTAGTTAACATCATGTATTTTAACACTATCTCTTTTTTTTTTCCTCTAATTCCTCTGACAGGAGAGAGAGACCTCTCCTTAACTGGCTTGAAACGATCTACCTCGCCCAACTAGTGCCTCTGGAAATCTTCTGTGAAATCGTATTTCCTCTGACCCCCTGGAAAGGACACTTCCCTTTCGTCCCTCTGCTGCTGACCTCGGTATACTGTGCTCTGGGCGTCGCGTACGCTTGGCTGAAACTCTACGTCTCCGTCTTGACTGAACGGATTTCTGGTAGACAAAAGGCTGAGTAGAGCCGCAGTGTTGGGACCAGTCCCGGGTTTGAGGGGATCATCCGGCACGGTGAGGGGTTATCGCAAGGACGTACAACTCTTGATAAGACGCAGCCTACGCGTACCATCGCCGCGAGGGGAGTTTTTTTCTTCCAATGCTTCTATACTGCCCAACGAGGATACCTCTGTCACAACAGCGTGGGGTGCGGTGAGGTGCCGCTTGCCACAGACAAACTGTGAAGCTGAACGAGGTCCAGACTTCCGTCCCGAGGAAAACCGGCCCGGCTTTCCCATCACCCCTTGTATTCGAATAAAAATCGGTGTGGCAACTCACGAGGGGTCATTGCTGTGTAGAAAAGAGCATTGTAACTGCGTTCTGTGGAACACGAAAATTAAAAACTCGGTATTTTTTTTTGTTTGAGCCTTTCTTGTGTGTTTTTTCTTTTAATCTGGTGTGTAAGCCCTGCTTCTTGAGGGACACCCGCACACGTACGGCTGTAGTGCCTAGCTGGAAACTTGTCCTGAGGTGCTTTGTCAAACTCCTGAACACCCCAGTCTGAAGCTTTACGTTAGTTGCTTAATACGTCCGTGTCCCTTTTGATCGCCTCCTTTCACACAGTCTTTGCAAAAAGGTTTTAATTTTCTTGTAACTGTACTCATTGCCGTAGACCAGGTTCCCCCATTTCAGACGCACGCCTCAATTTGCTGTTGTTTTAACGCTGTTAAATATATCGGATAACGTGGCTGTATTTATTTGCCATTCATGTAAAACTCTGCAACCCTGACGAAAGGCCAAGCGTCCACAGTTCCTCTGGTAAGCTGGGGCAGGAGGAGCTCCGAAAGGGAACGGGGTTCGGTTTTTAGGGTTTCATTAAACCCCTAACTTTTAATTACAGCCTGGCCTCCCTGGCACTGCGCAGGCCGTGGGGCTGACCCCCTTCACCCGGAGGGCTCGGGACTGCGGGAGCCCCCACCCGATCCCCGGTAAAGCCGCCCGACT